GGTTTTGTAAGGAATTTGTATTTTTCTTAATCAAGAGTAAACTATTTACCTCAGAAAGACATGACACCATCTGCTGGTGACTAAAGGACATAACAGCATTTCCTCCTAATAACTACACCTGTCACACAGGTTTGTGAAGCAAAAAGAAGATTGTGACATTGTTGAACAGAGCTGAGACGCTATTACAGGGTGTGAGATCTCTGCTGGAAAACACACGTTTGGAGTATTTGAACCAGTGAAGAGACGGAACAGTAACTTGGTGAGTCTTGTTGTTGAAAGATAATTTAGCAAGACAAATGGCTGAGAAGATAGTTATTTTTGAAAGTTACCTGAACTGCCCTGTTTGTTCAGAGACGTTCAGAGATCCTGTGTCTCTGAGCTGCAACCACAGCTTGTGTTCAAGCTGCCTGCAACTATTCTGGAAACAAGCTGAAAACAAGAACTGTCCCATTTGTACAAGAAAATCCTCAAAAGAACATCCAGGAATTAACTTTCCACTGAAGGAACTGGCTGACTCGTTTGCTGAGAGACCGAAAACTGGATCATCTGAGACAGAAAAAGGAGAGAAGAAGGTGGAGGTGGTGTGTAGTAAACATGGAGAAGAGACTAAACTGTTCTGTAAGGATGAAGAGAGAGTTGTGTGTTCTGTCTGTGAGTTTTCTCTCCACCAGAGTCACAAGGTGGTTCCTATAGAACAAGCAGTCAGTGACCTGAAGGACCAGCTGAGATCTGACTTAGAGTCTCTGCTGGACAAGAGGGACGAATATGAAGAAGTGGAGGAAACATACAATGAAATGATTGAACACTCCAAGAAGCAGCTGTTGTCCACAGAGAGGCAGATCAGAGCAGAGTTCAACAAGCTCCACCAGGTCCTGAAAGAGGAAGAGGAGTCCAGACTGGCAGCTCTGAGGGAGGAAGAGGAGCGGAAGGGGAAGACTATCAGCAGAGAGATGAAGATGATTCAGGAGCAGATCTCCTCTCTGTCAGACAGCATCTCTGCTGTTGAAGAAGACCTGCAGAAACACAACGTGTCATTCCTCAGCAGTTATAAACCCACTCAGACCAGAGCCAGAGTCCAGAGCTCACTGTCAGATCCACAGCTGGTCTCAGGAGCGCTGATAGATGTGGCCAAACACCTGGGCAACCTGTCCTTCAGAGTCTGGGAGAAGATGAAGGACAAGGTCCACTTCAGTCCTGTCATTCTGGACCCAAACACTGCAGCCTACAGTCTCTATCTGTCTGATGATCTGACCAGTGTGAGAAATAGTGACACATACCAGGAGCTTCCTGACAATCCAGAGAGATTCACTGAGTATGCCATTGTTCTGGGCTCTGAGGGCTTCAGCTCAGGGAAACACAGCTGGGAGGTGGAGGTGGGAGACCATCCTGACTGGGTTGTTGGTTTGGCTAAAGAGTCAGTTGACAGGAAGGGAAAGATATTTGTTTCACCACAATATGGAATCTGGTGTTTACTTCGTCGTAGTGGAAAATACACTAATGGATCTGGTCAGAGTGTCCGAGTGAAGAAGAGTCTCCAGAGGATCAGAGTCCAGCTGGACTATGACATGGGGGACGTGTCCTTCTACGACCCTGAAGACATGACTCACATCTGCACTCTCAGAGACACTTTCACTGAGAAACTCTTCCCATACTTCAGTATTGGAAAGTCTGGTGATGCTAAAACTGCTGATATCAAAATGTGTCAAACTGATATTTCTCTGTGATGTTCAGACATGTTAGTGTTTGTTCAGACTTTACTCTGACTTCACTGTGTGTCAACATCTCATTGATAGAATCAATACAATCAACAGTTATGACTCATCAGAATCAAACTGCATTACATCATCAGATCAGAAACTTTCACACAAAAACAAATCATTGTTTAACTATAACTAAATCAGCATCTTGTGTTTAATCAGAACACAATCTAACATTTAGTGAATCCACTAAACCAAACACTTTGTTTCCAGTTGTGTGTTTCTTTAACTTTGGTCTTCATCAGACATCAGTTTTAGTTTATTAGATTTCTGGATCTTCTGTTGAGTTATTTCAGGTTCGATGTTATAATTTCAGTGTTTTACACTTTACACTCAGAGTCTCAGAGGTTCAGTGAATCAAAACACATTCTGACTCTGATTGATTATCTTTTATGATTGAAATTGTTTTTCTTAACTGTCTCTACTGTCGTTAACTACTCAACACAGAAATCATTGTTTTAATCTGAAATTCATTTTTGGAAGTTAATAAATTAAAGATGTAAGGATCTGTAGCTGTGTAAAAATGTGTTAAAGATAAAAACTTTTAAGATAAAAGCTATTAATTCAGATTATAAGCATTGTGTTTTTTGACATTTTATATTTTTCTGTTGAGTTATTTTAGTTTTGGATACTTTGTTATATTTGTTGGAAACATCTGTTTTAATTGTTTTTTATGTTTAGAAGAGATAAAGAGTGTAAATATAAAGTCTAAGAATCCAAAATACATCAAATATATACAATTATTAAACCAGGTGAACAGTATGGATCATAATAATATTAATGGGTTTTGATTCAGTCTGTAATTCTTTCAAAGCTTCTTCATTCTGTTTATGATGATTTTTGTAGTTTTTACATGATCAGTAACATGAACGATGAATTAAAATGTTTGTGATCAACATAAAGGAACTTTAGTTTAAAAAGTCTTATTTCATTGAATCAACTATATCTTTATAAATGTACATCAGATGGATGCTGCTTCATGATGTGTAATTAAATCACCAACAGGTTTTATTCACAATATTCTGTATGAAGTTGTTTCAAGTTTCTTTACAAACATCTGTGAAATATTCATGTGACGAATTACAAAGAATACAAATAATGAAAAATAATTAATCAACCAGATTATAACAAAAGACAATATTTAATCTTAAAATGTCAAATCTACATTTTACATTTTCCAATCAACAGATTCCTCAGTGAAACTCTTTCAACGTCAACATTTATGGACAGTCCAGCTGAATGAAGTCAGATCTTCTTTTGTAAAGTCACGTGACTGATGAAGCGACTGCGCACAAAGAAAGCTGAATGGAGCTCATACCTCCCTGATGAAGGCTCAGTAGCTGTAAACATGTGAGCAATAAAGAGTTGTGCAACTTGTTTCATGTTGATGGAGTTGTATTGATTCTCTCACTGGTCTGTACCTCACTGTGTGTGTGTTCTCAACATTAGAAACAGTCAGAAATCACATTTACAAAGATGGTTCAACTTTACCCTCCTACAACTTCACTGCTTCATCATCAACTCTAAGAAAGGAAGTTTAAGCAAATAATACTTCACAACAATCTCCTCGAGGAACGACTCGCTTTTAGACTTTGTGTTTGTTAAAAACTCAAAGAAGCAGAATGATTGTGGTTGTTGATCATCTTTGTAATGTGAAGTTGTAACAGTGTGTTGAYGCTCACGTCTGTTATAGACAGCCTCACTGAAGAGAGGGAGCACTGAGGGTTGTATACACACAACACACTGTTTAAGAAATGCTTTCACTGTTACATTTCATTCATTCTGTCACCTACTGAATGCACTTCTCAGGGACAACACGCTCACATGTGCTCAATGTCATCAACATTATTGAATGTGCAGCATGTGCACAGGATGTGATGGCACGGACACATTTTACTTCCTGTAAACGTCACAAGATGGAGACAAAGTCCATGTTGTTCTTTGCTGCACAGGTTGATCAATAGCAGCACCTCTTAGCACTTTCTGATGCATTCTTCTTTTCACACAGATCCTTCACAGAAACCCCGTTGTGTTTGTCTGACATCCTGTTTGTCAAGAGTAGCTCACAAACCCATCACTACTGTGGCTCTTGATGTTGTTGTTGCTTCATCAGCCAACAAGTTAGTCAAATCATCTCAGAGACGTTATTCAGATTGAATTATATCTCAGACATGAGTCTTTTCAGCTCTTTAGAGGCCCACGTTTATTTTGTGCTGCTGTACCGTCATCGTCAAATCTCACTTGAACAAGATACAGATTAACACTGAACCTAAATGAGGTGGAATGCTCCCCAGAGAATGAAGAATAGGGTGTAGGGTGTGAAAGCAGCCCTCAGGCTGGCTCCTCCCACAACCATTTCCTAATCAGTGCCAGCATTTAAAACACACCTGTTGGCGTGAACTTATCCTTTATTGCCTCTGTCCTGTTCCTGTGGTTGCTCGTAGTGGTTTTCATGTTAAAGAAACCTCTTCATTGTCCTGCTGTCTGAGTGATACTTATGTTAGTACCACATATATGAGTTGGTTCACCTGCTGCTGTTTTGATTAATTTACATTGTTCAACCAACTGGGTTTGTTTTGTTTGTCTTGATTATTTTTGTTATTGGTTCACTTTTTCTTCAGGTTCAGTAGAGTGCCATTGTTGGAGGCTAAGCACCCGTGGTGAGGTCCCTACACCTCACACATGCATGTATAAACACTGGATAAGAGTGTGGACTGCACCATTTCTGTTGAGAGGATTGCTGTGTTGCACCTGAGGTGAGTTAGCGGTAGCACCCCTAAGCACTCCTCAGTGTACTTTGCCTCCCTACCAGTGGCCTCTACTTAAATCCCACTATTTCACTTAGTTTATGTTGGACAGGACCTTTTAGGATAATATAATGTAGGTTTAGAGTTTTTAGAAAGGTCTTTTTAGATTAATATCTATTGTTGGTTCCCTCATTTCCCCCCCCTAAGACCCCACCACACAAACAAGTTTCATTCTTTCTTCTCTGCTTCTCTCATTCTTTCTTTTCCTGCTGGTGCTGGAAGAACAACTCTTCTGCTCCATAAAATACGTAACAGAAAGGACGTACAGGGCAACGTAAGTATCTGTGTCAGTCCAGGTTTTCTTTCCTCCCACCAAACACTCTGCCCCTCAATCGTGTCACTGTTAAAATGCAGATCAGTGACGTCATCACGAGTGACACTAACAACAGTGTGATCACGTGAATGGAGTGCTGCTGGATCCAGGACGTTTCGTAGGAGTCGGCCTTTAAGTGAGCGGCTCCCTTTGTGTCTCAGGACAAACTGGATTCAGAACATGGCTCGGTCCAGAGGCTTCATGGTCTGGTCTCTGTGCAGCCTGGAGAGCTCCTGCACGTTCTCCCTGCAGGACGGCTCCTAAAGCACCTCCTTCACCTTCTCCAGGAAGTTGTCTTTGTTCAATGAGCAAATGTTCAGCACTCTGGTAACGCCCCTCGCTCTCGTCCTGAACAGGTTGTCGTCCCGATCAAACATCAGAGGAAGGCCGACGATGGGAACTTCACGGTAGATGGCCTCCAGAAGTCTGTTGGTGCCTCAGTTGGGCCACAAACACTCTGGTCTTTGTGTCCTAAGAGGACGTTTTGGTGCAGCCAGTCCAGCACCAAGGTGTTGTTGACCAGAGTGGACCGTCTCCTCCCAGTATGCCTCCAGATGACCTTCTGAGGGAACTGGGCAGGAAGAATCTCCACCAAGGTCCCCAAGCTCATAACAAAGACTCCATGCTCTGCAGAGCTCTGGACAAAGTCCTCCAGATGCTGAGGAAGCAACTTGGAGGGTTTACACTGAAACCCGCCCATGTAGACCACGTTGGACATGATGGACCAACAGTTTGAGGCTGAAGACTTTCTTTCTTATCTTTACAGCTCCTCAACAGTACTGTCTTCATCAGACTGATGTCTTTGTCTTATAGATTAATTCTAAACACCTGATAGAATATTTGTGTTGTTTTAAAATCAAAAACTTATTTATTTTAGTTAATCTTATGAAAATAATATCAAACTAATGCATAATGATATACAGTATTTTGATTAATGTCAATAAGAGAGTGAATGAATGAATGAATGAATGAGAGAGAAAATGTTCCAGAAATTAAAACACATTCAGGTTGAGAGACTTTAGAATCTATTTCATGATTGTTATTTGTACATTAACTGAGACACAATGTTGAAAACTAATAGTTGTATTAGTGAGTTTGATCTCATGTTTAAATACTAAGAAAATACATTTTACATACATTTGGCCACTTTGACTTGTGATGAGTAGGAGAATATGAGATAATCAAATTCAAACATCAGCTTTGATTCTTTAAGTGCAGGTTAAGAGTGTGATCTTTATTTAGTCCACCTGGATGAAATGAACACAGTCATGAAGAGATTTTAGCACAACTTGTTTCCTGTTACAGCGGCTGAAAAATAAAATATGCAGTAAAACTGGTTTAGTGTCAGTGAGTCTGTTGAAATGTTCAGTCCTCACGACAACAATCTTCTCCTTGTTTGTGATATTTTATGATCAGTTCTATTCTTTATAGAGTGAAACTAAACATGAGACTTTAGTTTTGGATTCAACTTTGAAACAGCAAATGGTTTTGTAAGGAATTTGTATTTTTCTTAATCAAGAGTAAACTATTTACCTCAGAAAGACATGACACCATCTGCTGGTGACTAAAGGACATAACAGCATTTCCTCCTAATAACTACACCTGTCACACAGGTTTGTGAAGCAAAAAGAAGATTGTGACATTGTTGAACAGAGCTGAGACGCTATTACAGGGTGTGAGATCTCTGCTGGAAAACACACGTTTGGAGTATTTGAACCAGTGAAGAGACGGAACAGTAACTTGGTGAGTCTTGTTGTTGAAAGATAATTTAGCAAGACAAATGGCTGAGAAGATAGTTATTTTTGAAAGTTACCTGAACTGCCCTGTTTGTTCAGAGACGTTCAGAGATCCTGTGTCTCTGAGCTGCAACCACAGCTTGTGTTCAAGCTGCCTGCAACTATTCTGGAAACAAGCTGAAAACAAGAACTGTCCCATTTGTACAAGAAAATCCTCAAAAGAACATCCAGGAATTAACTTTCCACTGAAGGAACTGGCTGACTCGTTTGCTGAGAGACCGAAAACTGGATCATCTGAGACAGAAAAAGGAGAGAAGAAGGTGGAGGTGGTGTGTAGTAAACATGGAGAAGAGACTAAACTGTTCTGTAAGGATGAAGAGAGAGTTGTGTGTTCTGTCTGTGAGTTTTCTCTCCACCAGAGTCACAAGGTGGTTCCTATAGAACAAGCAGTCAGTGACCTGAAGGACCAGCTGAGATCTGACTTAGAGTCTCTGC